GTGCCAGTTATTTTGACAAAGTTTAATGTACCTCTAATGTTGCCGTCAAACTTATGTTTTACACTACGACCACTGAATGTTCATCGTTTTCGACCCGCCGTTTCAAAGCCAGACTTTTCAACTGGACGAACTACTCTACAACAGTGGGTTGAAGACGAGCTATACGGCCTCTAAGACAGTTTAACCCTTGAAAAGGTAATTAAAAAAGCAAATATTTCCGATTTTAGTTTCGCTTTAAAAGAGAACGGTTATTGAATTAATAAACCTCTGACAAAAATAATCTTCTAAAACATCGTTCAATAGGCCGGAGTACCGCTGACAGCCGAAAATGCCACAAGTTCTAATTGCTTTTCGGTTTCATAAGATTTGAACTGCTTAAAGCCGAGAGTTTCTTAATATACAGTAGGGAAATTCCTTCTTTATCGAGCCTCAGCCTACCTCTTCATTATTTAACAATCGTACCCTTGGTTTTTCACTTCTTCATTTCATTTTCTCATTTGCGCCTTCTTAGGTTTTTTCCAAAAAATTGTTTGTCTCACATTTGGTAGCAATAATAGGTCAAAACCCTTCAAGATCAAAATGTGCATTCAAATAGCTCAACGCTTATAAGATTCTCTCGTCAAACATTTCAAAGCACTGACTACAGAAAAGAATTAGCTTCGGTAGCGTTTTAATGTATTTCAAGAAATCGCTAAGCCGCTGCCTATAGAGACAAAGTTTAAGGTAAGATTCAGGGTTGACAAAGGGACAACTATAACTGGTCATTATCACTAAACATATGAAGTATGACGAGATTGTCCACTGGCACTTACCTTGTCACTAGCGGATCGATAGGCATTGCTTAACGAGTGTAATTGCGTTCCCAAAGCTAAACGGTGCCTATGCCTAGAAAGGTTGTTAAAGGAGTTCAAAGCCAAATTTTATCTGATCTATCTTCAGTCAGCTTTAATTGCACTTTCGGTGTTTATCATAACGACATTTAGATCCATCCACCTGATAAAATAAATGTCATTACTTGGCATTAACTCATATGTCTATGAAGGACAGCGATAAATTAAGCCTTTCACACAAGTACATTTTGTTTCTAGCGACGCTTTGAATTTGTTTTTGAAATAATTCTATTTAAAAGCAGGTAAGAGGGGAATTACTGGCGAACAAGAGCTAGAAACAGCGAGAAGCGAACGAAAAAATTAAGCCAAAGCTTAGAATTTTCTCCAGACACGTCCGTGACAGGAGTCTTTAATTACGTCAACTTATCCGCCCACTTACTCTTAGGAGACTCAAATGAATATTACACGTATCTAAGGGCTTGGTAGATTAGTGACTTTCCTGATTACGAGTGAGATAGCCAGTATTCTGAGGCAAGCGTTTTTATAGGTGATCATGAGTGGCGTGCAAATCACCGATTACAGCTTAAGGTGAGCTCAGTGGGAGTGGCCTCGAATTTTATAAAAAGGAATAACAACGGCTTCGTTGATTGACTTGAGAGCATGCTGCCATGGGAGTGTACTAAACTGTTTGCTTGCTCCATATGCAAATCAATTCATTTGTCAAAAACAGACAACCCTGTAGCTTTAAGAATTAAAACAAATGAATCGTTACGTAAAAATGTGAAATCTTCGTTTGACACCATATTGACAGCTAATATTTACTAAGATGCGATAAATAAGAAGCCCTCTCCCAAATTCCGATTGGTAGATCAATTTGAGAGTCCTCGAGAATAGAAAGATTGACTAGCTGAAATTTGAATGCTGAAAATTACGTTTTGAATACGATGTGAAAAAAGTAAAAATAAAAAAAAAAAGAATCAGCTGGTTTGCCCGCCTCCGCTTCGATTTCATGGACTTAAAATTTAGATTACCACTTGGTCAGCTATCCTCTCACGACTGTCATGTCGAGTTTTCAGATAGTTATCGGTGTTCGTCATTAGCAAGGTACTCCCTAAACTATGTTTCTGTATCATAGAAAACAGGACACACATCTATTTCAGTGCTAACTGTCAATAAACTGCCAGATATCCATGACTCGACGACGTTATGCAGATCACAAAGAAAATGATATGAACGGCCTTACACTGGGAAAATTTTTCTTTCACCACCCCATTTCAACAAAATAAATTTTCTTCACACGAAGAATGTACATAATTTTTTGGCAAGATAAATATTCCGACATATTTGAATTCGATATCTTGTTATCTTGCTTGCATCCTCTTCTTTGTTTAATCAGTCTACCCCAAGTAATTTCTTGTTCAAACAAAATGGTTAGTTAAGATTTCAAGTACACAATACGGCGTCATCTTGTTTTCACGATCCGCCCAGCATTTTCCATAAACTGAACAAACGATTCCAAGTGGATCAGAAAGGCCAATAAACTCCCGTTACCTCGTAAAGCAACGTTCGCTCAATAAAAAGTCACTGAATTAAAGGAAGCCCCTAGCGGTGCAACTCTGCTTAGATTCGGTAAGTACTTTACTGACTGCCTTCCGGATTCGGCACTAAGAAATTTACGGAAGATCCTTTGCCGCTCTTAAATGGCATCCATTGTTGTGCTTGAATGATATCATTGTTGTACTTGAATGATATCATTGTTGTACTTTACTGACTGCCTTCCGGATTCGGCACTAAGAAATTTACGGAAGATCCTTTGCCGCTCATAAATGGCATCCATTGTTGTACTTGAATGATATCATTGTTGTACTTGAATGATATCTTCAAATCTTGAGAAAATTTAGAGGGATATTGTTTTCTATTCAACCAAGAATCATCTGAGTGTTCAACAAAAGTGAGGCTTGTGTACGAGGGGAGCGGAAATCGACTCGTCTAACGCATGTACATCGACTGAATCGGTACCTCTAATAAATTTTACCGTTTTAGCTTCATTGACTAAATTTATAAAACTATTCGAAGGAATTGAAAATATGTCAATTGAAAATAACACAGCTCAAGAATCGTGAGAACAGAGGCTAGTTCGCACTAATGAATATTAAAAAAAGCCTCTTTGGTTTGTTTTCTCATGTAAGTTACAATTACATATACACCACTTTGATCTTTCCTAAGTCAATTGAATTCTGACATTTGACGTCCACATGCTCAAGTGGATCCCTGAATACAAATGCAAATTCAAACATGGTTTCATATTAAATACAGTAAATCTCTGGTAATCTGTAATTTGACAAACCGAAAAAAATCAATTTGCAGAACTCCAAAACTCTTTGATGTCAGTGCATGGACAAACGTGGACAAACTGTCAGAACAAAGGTGTGGAGTCAGAACTAGTAAGCGGCAATTTAAAGGTAAGCATGACTTTTAAAACTCACCTATTTGCTGCACCTTGATGACTAAGCGTATTTATCCGCTCCAATTCAAACAAAACTACGATACATCTTTAATAATTTCCCTTAACTACAAGTCAGATGTCTAAAATCCAAAGCATTGAAGCCTCTTTCTTTTCCAGTTTAGATATTTACGGTTCTTGTGAAACATATATGTACTTCCAAGTAAAAATAATCCCTTTGTTTGTTTCGTTGGTTGGTCTGTTTTGGCCCCAAAACATCTCATAATGTTTTGAAGCCGGCTTATGCTTCAGTTTGACATGCTTTAGCGGTTAACACTCATTAAAAGGTCAACATGCATAACCTAATTTTTGTTATTCATATCATGTTCGCAATTACTAAAATTATTTCGATGCTGGAAACAACTCCCAATCCAGGATACCCAGCAATAAAACAGGATTTACACTTTAAGAAACACTTGGCGATTCACGGGAACACTGAAGTGACGAAATAAACACTGGAAAACCTGCAGGAGGAGGTTTTCTTGACTCATCAAAAATAAAACTTCTAGTTCTTTAAGAGACCTAGAATACACAGTTTTGAATCTAAGAAACTCTTAACCACCTCAGTTCAGGTTTGAATTTACATGTTGACAGCTGCTTTTCAATTAAGGTATCTTCGATTTGTATATCATTCAGGCAACGTCAAGAGGTGAGAAACGCACCAGCAAAACGTAAGAAAAATAAAATTTCTAAGTTGTAAAGCTTAGCTCGTGGATTGCAAAGGGCCAGATTTAAACATTTTAAAAACTCATTACCTCATCCATAATTCAAGCAAGATCTGCTCTCAATCACCATGTCAAAAAAAACCACTACCTCATCTTTATTTTCACGTTTTATTTTCTAAAGAATTAATGGACATTAAAAGACAGTCATTGTCTTGCGTCAAAATTCCTTCAATACTTAGTTCTTTGTCTTCATCAAGTTTATGACATCACTATCGCTTCAGAAAAAATAACCTTTTCTATAAAAGTGAATCACAATGGATCACAATGAGCTTTGCACCCTGCGAGCAGTTGGTTGCTCCTACGCTGAACGAGAGAGAAACCACCACGAGCAACTGTCTGTTTTTCCATATACATATACATATAAAGCTTGACCTATTCCATCAAGGACGCGGAAGCGTCATGCCGTACGTGATCTTGCACGTGATGTAAACCTGATTCATTTTAGGCTACTTCCTCTTCCGCAACCTGGTAAATAAGTGATTTCCAAGTCCGGTTGAAAGAACGGCCATTGTATCGTGATCCAAGAGTTTGTCTTTGTTCATTGCATAGCATCGTTATCCCTTAAGATTTCAAGCTTTCAAGAGTTGTACTCAAAGCTTTATCATACATGTAATCGTTGGTACTGGACTTGGACGATGACTTAGACACCATTTTGATCGCTAAACCCAACAGTTATTTTGGTTGGCGCATGCGTGAGAGTTTAAACCAGTTTCCAAACTAGTTTTACTGGTTCAAAGTTAATTTATTCGTCCACAGCGCTGGACGGCGGTTAACTCGAAGGTACGAACGATTACTCGCAGTGGTTTGTTCAGCGTAAGAGAAACCAATTGCTCGCACAAAATAAGCGTATATGGCCATTTACAAGCAGAAGTAAGGGAAAATAAAGGGAGTATTTCAAAATTTCCGGTAGGAGCGACAAGTGTAAATAATGTTCTCTCTAACCTTTTTTTAATTCTATGATCCGATCCGCACTCTGACCCAAGATCCGTTCTGTGATCCATCCGTGATCCAGTCCGTGATACTGTCCGAGTTGTGTCGACGCCGAAACAGATGTTTTCTTTGGGGCACGATTGTTGTAAATGAATTCAACAGTGGTTTACAGTTGTACAATGAAGAGATAAGGAACAAAGGAGATCTTTAGGTAAACCGTCAACAAAAACTAATAATTAAAAGACCCCTAAAACACAAAATAGGTTTGCAATTAGCTTTAGCAATAAGTTGAAATTAATTTAACAATTAACTAAAACTGTTTAGAAGGGGAAAACTGTTTAAATAAACTGCTTATAATTAAATAAAGGGGGTAAGCTTAACCGAGTTGTGATGTAAAAGAAGACCATGGTGGAGGTTTTTCCCCTCGGCACCTGCCGATTGAATACTATGATGCATTTCGATTAATTTATATCGTAGGCTTTTTTATCTTATTTGGTGTTGGCCGCTGAAACTATAACTTCTAAAAATTTTGCATGTAATAACAAAACCAATCAAAGAATTGAAAAAACAAACAAAAAAACACAACGAAAGAAAAAAAAAGAAAAACAAAAGTGAATAACAAAACAGGACAGAAAAAAGAAAAACCAAATATCAAAATCTTCGAAATGCTAAAATTTCCGGCAAGAGTTTACAATGGAACCACATTTTGGCAGCTATCGATAAAATGGTACAATGACGCTAGTAAACTAATTGTCTTAGTTGTCCCCACTTGATTGGCTTGTATAAAAAGTGATGATGTCATAAGTTTGGTTTGTGATCAAAAGAAAGAAAAATTCTCAAACTCGCAAATCAGCTGTCTTGGTTGGAATCATTTACACTACATGAAAACCTCTCTCTATGAATCATCATTATTCATAGCCTCTTAAGGAATGTAATTTTACTTTTTATTATCCAACTTCACTCCGTACAAATAACGCCATAAAGAGTTCAAACAACGCCATAAAGAGTACAAATAACGCTATAAACGAGTACAAATAACGCCATTAACAAGTACAAATACACGCGGTATTTGTACTCCAGAGAACCGGTTAGACAGGTTTTCTCGCATCGCGCAAGCGAAGAATTGGATTGAAGCTACGAAAAAAATCGTACTTCTCTTTATCTACAAATTCACTTTAGAATAGTTTCTGTCGTAAAAAGACATCTTTAAGCGCTGGTAAAAAATATTGTCATCTTGTGCTAGATGAGTTTGATTTTTTTCTCGCTCTTTAATATGCGCTCGCTTCAGTTTTTGTCCTTCGTACAATAAATAAGTGAACTGACTGTGACCATCGTTTAGGTTGTGCAACGTTTACACGTGAAAACTGAAAAGCACTCATCAGGCGATTTTCTAAGAATTGAAAACAGGGCTTTTCTACGGAAGTAGAAAAGCCCTGTTTTCTACTTCCGTAGAAAACTCGCCGAAAACGCTTCAAAATGGCCTGAGACATTTTTTCTCTCGTTTAAGGCAAACTGATAACATCCCATACAAACCTTTATAAATATAAAACGTTGCGCAACACTGTAAGTGTCACGTCCGCTTTTCTAGTAGTGGGCTTGGGCTGCCTGTGCAGCAATACATCAATAAAGAAACATTGAATGAGATAACGTACAATGTAATACGAATGACCTACCACCAAGGCGGTGTCCAGTGGGCCCCTCAATACACGATGCACATCAGGACGATTTAAGTCTTTATTTTCCTAAGCGTTTCACATTAGAGGATTGGCCAGATGTACGTGATCCGGGTGATATTTTTAATTGAGAGTTTTTTCGTAGGCCACGCAGATACAAAGCCGTCAAAATAATCTGAGGTAAGTAGATCAAAAGCGTCTTATAAAAACGCGTCAAATGGCCGGAAATGCATCCGTGTTTACTACGTATCCGCAAGAGTGATGTCTTTACTTCACTTCTCGATTTGAAGAACAATAAATTCTTGAAAGCTTGTTTTTGTACACTTGGTAGCAAAAAGCTCTCAACGAAATACAGCTTACGTAAAATTTAATAATAGTGAAGAAAATGAGTAAGTGTCTCTTTAAAAGTTTGCCAAACTTTAAATAATCTTGCTTCGTTTAAGTTAATTAAAAACCAATAACGACTTCGTTTACAATAATAATAAAATCTGACCGTCTCCTAAAAACGTGTCAAATAGCTGGAAATGCGTTCGTGTTTATTACGTATCAAGAGTGATGCCTTTTACTTCACTTCTCGGTTTGAAGAAGAATAAATTCTTGAAAGCTTGTTATTGTATTGGTATTCAATTACGTTCAACACCAATACATCAATAAAGAAACATTGAAAGAGATAACGTACAATGTAATACGAATGACTTACCACCAAGGCGGTGTCCAGTGGGCCCCTCAATACACGATGCACATCAGGACGATTTAAGTCTTTATTCTCCTAAGTGTTTCACCTTAACCGATTGGCCAGATGTACGTGATCCGGGTGATATTTTTAATTGAGGTTTTTCGTAGGTCATGCAGATACAAAGCCTTAAAAGAAATCGGAGGTAAGTGGATCAAAAAATGTCTCATAAAAGCACATCAAATGGCAGGATATGCATTCGTGTTTACTAAGTATCAAGTGATGTCTTTTACTTCACCTCTCTATTTGAAGAAAAATAGATTCTTGAAAGCTTGTTATTGTACACTTCGTAACAAAAAGCTCTAAACGAAATATAGCTTACGCAAAATTTAATAATAATGAAGGAAATGGGTAAATGTCTTCTTTAAAAGTTTAAGCTAATTAGAAACCAATAACATATGACTTCGTTTATAATGATAAAATCTGACCAAAATCATTTGACATTTTTTTTTTATATGTAAAATAATTGGCGGAGACGTTGAGAATACTTCTATAGCACTATAACTGCTCTCTGAAGGGTGAACATATAAGTAAGGTGTACATGTAGATATCTGAAATAACAAAGGCCCTTTAGAATTATTTTGCTTGAATGCAATGTACATAAAAAATTTTGCGTTTACCACATTAAACGGAACAATTTTTTTTCCTGCATGTAAATTTTTGGGACACACATGGTCACTGTAGAAACTGTCTTTGTTCACAAGACAGGTTAACAGAATACATTACAACCACACAGAAACTACCCGACGTCATGAACTTCTCGGTAAAATTACAAGGTATCTATTCAACGAGGCAAAGTCATCAATGGCTACGGCGAAGTTCCAACTAAACGTATTAATGTGAGAATGCTAATTTGAGGTGACAACGTAATCATTTGGAAGGCTTTTACCATTTACAGGTGTCATGTTACAAGCAATTCAAAGATAAAGATCGTAATTTAGTCACGTTCGCCTAAAAGCCACACTATGCCTTATAATGGATAAGTATGACGAAAAAATTTTGCATAAAGCGAAGGATGAGCTGAAAGAGGGATTGACCAGCACCACTCAAGGGGAGGAGGGTGGGAAAATTTACAGACGCTGTGGCATCAGTACACTTGCAAGAAGCGAAAGATTTTGCATGCAACGGCGCATAAAAGGTCTTGAGAAATTCCCTAGGGAGTGTGAATAGTTTCTTGAATTGAACCCGAATAGGTTTGTTCGTCATTAACATTGAATTAGTTTTCCTTCTTGGAGAAGGGTTAAACATTTCAGGGGCTTCCAGAAGGAGGCTTTGAAGGAAAAATAGGGCTTATCAGGGATAGTGGAGGAGGGGAGGGGGTGCTTCTATTCAATTTATTTGAGGAAAGAAAAGGGACTTTGTCACCTAAAGTGATCGTACCACTAACCAAACACTCTTTGACGTTTGAAAACTGTATTTTGATTCCAAACGAATCATTACATTAAACAAAAATGGCGACTGAAACCAAAACCGAAAAACAACAACACCACGAGGTTTTTGAATTACGTCATTATCACATGATGTCAATCATAGGTACGAAAAGCGTACAAATTGAACTAAAACAATGTAGTTATAATCGCGACAGACATATTCATAATAAAGTATTAAGTTTGTATCTTTACTAACATGCAGTTTGTGTACTTTTATAAGATATTTAGTACCCCAATTTTGATTCAGCAGCATCTTTCTCAGGAAATATTAAATTTACGTGATTCTGCTCTTTCAGTTTTAGAGTTAATAATTAGTATTTCTTTAAAGTTTCTGTGCAACAAATCAAAACAGACGAACTTAATTGACTAAAGTAATTGTTAGGAGTTACCACCTGAAAAAAAATTGGAAATTTTTTGCAAAATTATTCCTCAATCTATACTTTTATTTATAAAAATGCAAAAATGATAGAAATTACTGATAAAAAAATTGTTCCAAGGTACATCCAGGAACGACAAAACAATATACTACCTAATAATAAGATCGTTCTGTCTACTTTTAAGCTGCATTCAGGTTTGTAAACCTGCTATATGAGCATATTCTACATATTCATCTTATGTTCTCTCACAGGATGATCGATTGGGTGATTTTTGCCATTTTGCCTCTTTTACTCTTAAAAATGGTAACAGGAGAATGGCCTGGGAATAACACAGTCTGGCATTCTTGCTCTCCTTACTGCAACTGTTCTCTGACAGACTACACTATCATGGCCAAATGTGATTTGCAAATGATGGACAAGTGTGAAAATTTTGTTCTTCCCAACAACACGATGGTGTTGTAAGTAAATGTACATTTCATGTCTGAAATAACATTCTTGCCCTTATTGTTTAATATTGGGATTCATTGTCAATTCTATCTGATGCAGAAGTTATATTTTTCATACATTTATGAACACAACCCCTCATATTTATTCTGATCCCTCCCAGAAGCTCTAACCTTCCTTAAATAGAACACTGAATTTGTGATTGACCGCTAGAGCTAAACCGCACCAATCAAAAACTCCGTTCGCTCACATAATATTCCTTCCCCTTCATCATTTTTTTCACTGTCACCTACCCCCTTGGTAAAGAGATATACGCTGTGAGTAGTCACGGACTTCCCTCACTTTTCCATCACATTATAATTAAATCAAGTATTAGATACAATGTATATATGAAGTTCATATATGAACTTATATATATATATATCTCATATATGAAATTCATATATACATTGTATCTGATTTATCATCACGGATTTATCACGAATCAACTTAACGGCCTGCTCCCAGTTGGCTTGTTAGCTCAAATGGTAGAGCGCTGCACTAGTATCGAAGAGGTCAGTGGTTTGAATCCCATACAGGCCTGATTTTTTTCAGGTCTGATTTTCGCTATTGCATAAATAGCGCTCTCTACTGCGAGGATCGTGCATCATACGTAAATCAAGTATTGTTAACAGCATTGCAATTTTTAAATCTAGCGAGATAAGATGGTCTGATCCTTCGAAGGCCCTAACCTCAGTTAGGTTTTAATATTAACTATGCTTGGACTTGTTAACATGTTACAATATTTTTCATGACAAATGTTGTTA